TTTCGACATAGAACTTTGCACATATGTGCAACACCTTGAGCCGCAATCTACGAATGTTTGGCATGCGATTCGCTCCCGCCAAATGCAAGATGATGTTACAGGACTGGACTACATCGACGCCTAGTTTAAAAATAGGAAGTGAAGTGGTAGAGCACGTTGACCGCTTCACTTATTTGGGAAGTACCATCAGCCAATGCCAACGGGCTGATCTCTGACGAAATCTCAGCACGAATACAAGGGGCTCGTTTCGCATTTGTTAGTTTACGCCGACTCTGGCGTAGACGAGATATTCGACTATCGACCAAAGGGCGGGTGTACTGCTCATCAGTCCGCTCCGTCCTCCTGTATGGTTGTGAGACCTGGCCACTCAGAGTGGAAGACATGAAAAGACTAGCTGTCTTTGATCATAGGTGCCTGCGTTCTATTTCCCGTGTAAAGTGGCATAATAAGGTGAGCAACATGGAGGTTAGGCGTAGAGTTCCAGGTAAACAGGGGAAATCAATCGACGAAGTCGTGAAGATACAAAGACTGAGATGGTTAGGACATGTGTTACGTATGCCAAGCCATCGCCTCCCTCGACGAGCAATGTTAGCGGATATAGGGTCAGACTGGAAAAAAGCTAGCGGCGGTCAAACAAAAACTTGGCATCAGTCAATGAAATCCACAACAGTTGGTCTAAGCCACGTAGAAAGGTGTAGACTTCCAGGCTGGGGTCCTCGGGACGGTAAAAATCTATGGTTGGAAACAATTGGTGACATGGCTCAAAATCGTTCTCAGTGGCGCAGATGCATCCACTCCCTGTGACTTATGATCTCCAATGAAACTGTTTTGTATTTCTTTATTACTCCTTTGTCTCACACCTCTGCTCACTGTTTCTATTATGCTTTTCTTGTACTTTCTTCTCTTGCTTCGCGTGCTACACGGAATGTGGCGACTTGAACTTCCGCACATTTGTGCAAAGTTCTATGTCGAAAACAGACAGACAGACATATGTGCATCAGTTCGAGTCGCCATACTCCTACCATGTAGCACACAAAACAAGAGAAGAAAGTAGAAGAAATGCAAAATAGGGACAGTAGACAGGGATAAGAGACAAAAGGAATAGTAATATCGAAGAACAATACGGTTTTTATATTTAAGTCACAAGGAGTGGATGCAACTGCGCCAGTCATTGAGAACGATGAGATTGAGCCAGCCATATCACCGATTGTCTCCAACCTTCATTGGTGTTTACCGTCCCGAGGACCCCAACAAGGAAGTCTACACCTTCCTACGTGGCCTAAACTAACTGTTATCGATTTCATTGACTGATGAAGTCATGTTTTGGTTTGACTGCCGCTGACTCTTTTCCAACCTAACCCTATATTGGCAGCTAACATCACCCGTCAAGGAAGGTGATCGATGACTAGGCTAGATATGCGTAACACATGTCCTAACCATCTCAGTCAATATAGCTTCACAGCCTCGTCGATTGATTTCCCCTCCCACCTACGTAGCACTCGACGCCTAACCTCAATATTACTTCACCTTGTTATACCACTTCACATGGGAGATAGAACGCAGACACCTATGATCAAAGGCAGCTAATCTTTTCATGTCTTCCACTCTCAATGGCCAGGTCTCACAGCCAGCCATAAAGAAGGACAGAGCGGACTGCTGAGCATTGCACACGCCTTTTGGTCGATAGCCAGTCGGCTTTCACGTCTACGCCAGAGACAGCGTAAACTGGCCTATGCGAAACGAGCCGTCCTCAGATTTCGTCAGAGATCAATCAACCCGTTGGCGTTGGCTGATGCAACTTCCCAAATAAGTGAAGTGGTCAATACTCTTGACCAACTACTTCACTCTCTATTTCTAAGCTAGGAGTCAATAAACACATGATTTCACTTGGGACACGCACACACACATACACTGAAGGTTCGGCTATGACATAGAATACACTGTCAGATTGAGGTGTTTAGACGATAACTTCACATTTTTCGTAGGAAGTTTCAGTGGCAACAGTGCGGTTGCACTTGCATCACACCGTGTGAGCTTCCATCTTTCTCGGGCATTTGCTACTAAGTATTAGACTTGGCGAAGTTTAGGAATATATCGTGAGAAGCCAGGAGACTTGTTAATGGACTATTTTTACTATTTGAAAATTTTCCTTCGTCTTTCTGGACAATGCCTCTTCCAGTGTCCTACTTTGCCACGTTGAAAGTATTGTCTTTTTCTGGCACTCATTCGTGGCCCCAAAGTTACTCCACACTGCAAATCTTCCACTCTTTGTTCCAACTAGTTCGATTTCGGTGGCTCTACTGAGGCCACCCGTTGTACTGAGTATGTGTCTTGTCATCTTCGCTAGTTCACTGATGTGTCTAAAGGCTATGCAGCTTTGACCAGTCGTAATTGTTAAGCAATATATCCTAGGACACTTTCGATAAACTGGGAAGCTGAAGAAGATTCATCAGCTTCACCGCCAACATCATCAATTAGTTTCTCTTGGGTTCGAACTATGATAGGTATCATTGGCACACACACACACTGATGAAGACTTGCAAGTTAGGACGAAACACTTGTCGTCCAGTGAGTGCTTCCTTATTTGCAATAACACTATATGGGTAATTCATAAAGCCTCTAAAAAAACGCAAAATCACAACAGAACGATTCCTAGTTACTGGAGTGGGTTTGTATTCTCAAACGAACAATAAATCCGGAAGAGTGAATGAAATCCATTCTCAACTATGTCACCAACTTTTTGGAGATTGACAGACTGGTTTCAACAGAGAACTTTGCACAGAAGTTCAACAGTTCGAGTTCTCACACTCCACGTACCACAAGAGATTCAAAAGGACAATAATAAGCAGAAATGTGAAGGGGAAAGGAATAGTAACGTTGAAAAAAAGGGGTAAAACGGATAGGACAGATCACAGAGAGTGAATGCATCTGACCCGGCCGTTGACTGCGATTTTGAACCATATAACCAGTTTTACCCAGCTATTGGTTTGTAGAGTCTCGTGAACCCCATCCAGGAAGCCTACACCTCCCTACATCGCTCAAAGCAATTGTCAAAGACTTCTTAGACTGGTTTCATGTTTCGGTTTGACCGTCACCGGTTAACTGTTTTCCAACCTGATCCTATGTCAATCGACATAGCCTGTCAAGGAAGGTGATCAATGGCTAGGCATACATAACACGTGACCTAGTCGTCTCAATCAACGTAGCATGACATCCTTTGATATCGATTGAGTTCGCCTTCTTACCTAACACTCAACACCTATCTTCGAAATTACTCACCTTAATATGCCAACTAACATGGAAGACAGAGCGCAGACACCTATAATCAAAGACAGATAGTTTTTATATGTCTCCGACTTACTCATAGAGGATGGAGAGAAATGCTGAGCTGTAATACATGTCATTTAATCGATAGCCAGCCAGCCAGATATCACATCTACACGAAAGAGATGATGCAGGCTGGCAAATGTCACGTGAGCCTTTTCTATCTGTGCTGAGATTTCGTATTCTCTGAAGATTACACTATGATTCTTCAAATGAATCATAACAAGAATCGGAAACTTAATAAGTACAGGCTATGAGCTTCACTCATTGTGTCGAAAGCTGATGATGATGTAACCACCCAATTTGCTGAAGCCGAAGTATACGGAACTACTATTCTCTTAGTTGTGTTCAAGCAGGTAGTGAATACAGAGATGAAAAAAATTCTCCTTATTTTTATGTTTTTGAGAAAACCTTCAGGACATTCTGCTTTCTCACATGAAAGAGTCAAGACCAAAAATAAGGAGTAGGAGAATGAAGGAGCAAATAGAACGAGGGGGGGGAACGGTGAAAATAATAATAATAATACATCTGCTTTATCCCCAAAAGAGCAGTACTTATAATACAGGATGGAATTCTCAGCTTTTGTCACAATATCTCGCATCTGATTTACTCAAAATATAAATAAAATTGAAAATTAAAACAAAATTAACCAGAGGAAAGTGTGCACGTTTACTATATAAAGTCAAAATATTCGAAGCATGAATTGAGAATAGTAAATATAATAATAATAATAACAATGAGTTTGTTTCAAACAGTATAGTCGACTCAGTTTGAAAATTTTAGCATGTTACTATAGAGTATTGAATCTAATGTTCTGTTGATGTAGTATAGTGAGCGGAAATACAAGATTAACCGTGGTAACACAGCTTAAACGATGCTCACACTTATGAAAAAAGGTAAACAAAAACAAAAAATTGAGAGGATTATAAATATCAGAAATACAATAACAATAAAGTTTGGTACTGTAAGGGTGGAGGAAATGGTTTATTGAATAGTGCAAAGAAGGTTAGTTAGTTAGTTCATGCCTGACACCATTTCCATCACATAAAGTATGTGCTAAATATGATATAGTGGAATTTTTATACTCAGACATACGTGCATAAAGTCTTCTGATGAATAGACTTCCTATTTTACCTGAGGAGACACAAGGTTGGAGCTGCGGGTAAAGTGGATGCCCACAGTCTGACAAAATGCTTTTAACAAATTCATTGCATGACATCAGGTGCCTATCGAAAATGACGATGTCAACGATATGGCCCAATGGGATACCACCACCACTCGGCCTACTGACTGACAGTCTTCAGAGTTCTACGAAGTATGAAATAGTCTTTTTTAAGTAATCGACGAAAGAATAAGTAAGGATGAACAGTAAAGAAGAATATGTAAGATGCACGAGTTGACCAACTGTAAGAAGAGGGGTTGGGTTATGTGCCTCAACTTCTTAATGTAAAAAGTCAGACGAAATATTCTTTTAGAAATCGCTAAGACATGGGAAGACCAGGATAGGTCAGAAGAAAGAATTAATCCAAGATACTTAACTTTAGACTGAGTTTTTGTACCAGTATCATCAATTTTGCAACGGTCATATGACAAGTATGCGTGTGTGTGTGTGTGTGTAAGACAGGAATATCCGAAATGAATTATACATTTCAGACAAACACCTTCTATGGACTTACTTGTATAAAAGTGACACGACTATCAGCCAGGATAGATTTTGCAATATCATCAGCTATCAATGGATCATGATTGCGTAAATTTTTCAAATAATATCTTGAATTCAATGTTAAACGTCCAGCCAAGTCATCGACTATATTAGCTAGACGACTTTGTTTTACAATGGGGCCAGATTCAACAGTTACCTGTGAAGAAAAAGAAAAGAAAAGGGAAACAATAGAAATCAATAAAATACTCGAAAAATTGGCAAAGGCTAGAAAAGTGCTAAGAATAATGGGAGTTAAGGATTATACACCTTTCCTCAAGACACGTCTTATTTGTTCATTTATGTGATTGATAGCGACTATCAAATGGAATGCAAGACGAGAATCCTGTCATCCGTATGTACCACAGTGTAAAGAAGAAAAGACCGATAAAGGCTCAAAGACAATCTACACCTGATGGTTTTATTATCTTTACCAATTGCCCAACTTGACAATGTAAACATTACCTCATGCTGATGAATGATGATTAAGCTGTCCCTGGCAGACAACTGCTACCTTGCCGTGGTGGTCGGGCTTGAATACCGCAGTGACCCAACAAGCTAAACTGGCTGGGACTCATGCTCCTGCAGGTCAGGTTGTTTGGATAGCGGTTCGATTAAAAGCAGTTACTATGGGGTACATAGGCTCCAGAATCCAATCGGATCAAATGGCGTATGAATCCATATGGATCACCGGAAACCATGGGAATGCAGCACCTGACGCTGCTCCGCTGCCTTAAGGATTAGACTCCAAGTCAAAGGCTAAGGGGGTGGTCCATTAAGAAAACAACCTGCTTCAGTCTGGGCGCCAAGGCAGTATCTCAGCCGTCATACAATAAATGAAATGCAGCAACAAATCTTTGTGTGATACATCTTTCTTGGTGCCATATTGTACCAAGTTTTTTTTTGCGTTTAAATGAATTATTAGGCATAAATTTGGCATACCTTATTATCTTCAAGTCTTTATTTTGCACATCATTACCTAATTGGTCAAATGTCACCACATTCAATAGCTTGTTAGATTATGTACAGTGTTTGCAACGTTCTCCTGACAGTTCTCTTCTTCGATTGCTTTTTCCAGCGCCCCAAAAACATACTGTTACTTTTCTGAATACATTTACCGGCTTACTACTTATATTTGATTATAAGTAGCACTCACAACAGCACCAGCATATCTCCAAAGAATGGATAGCATTCTCATCATCATCCATCGATTCGTCAAAAATCAAAACCATTATTCATTAGGTTACTGAACTATGAGAGCCAATCTCTTGTCAAAGGGCATAACAGTTGTTATCGGTTGAGGTTATTTTAAATTTCATATATTAGAAGCCAACATATTTTAGCAAAAAGTCAGAGAAAATTCTGTTCAACTCTGTTTTATCCAGTTTCCTCAATAGTTGCTGATCATGTTGTTCATGAATACACTTGAAGATAACATCTTTTTTATCAAACGAGATTTACACAATTCATTCTTGGAGAAACTGAACAATTTATCTTTCAGCATCCTGTTTACTTCGGAAGCAAGCGGAGTCAAACACGTCGGTGAGCTACGTTTTCTTAACTGTCGCTTAGTTAAGAGGCGGGAAAGCGGATAATTTAATGCATCTATATTGAAGAAGACATCCCCCCTTCAACAAACATTAGGACTTCAGATCATCACACCCCATCATCAGCGTAAAGGTATTTAGTTGTTTCAAATCTTCTTAGATGAGCGCACACACTTTAGTGTTAACGGATGAGAAGGAAAAAGTATCAAACATTACTGAAAATTTCAAGCAAAATAAATACCCAAGGAACTTCATCGATAAAATCAACGCCGACATTAACTATATGGTCGAAAACACGTATTCCAAAGACATAGACCCCCCCCCCCAACAGTTATCATTCCATATAGATCCGAAGCGTACTCAAATAAGCACAACACCAGGGTTTTCTCCAAAACATCAGACACACACACACACACTACAAATCAACCTTGTCCATATAAAAGACCAAATCCCTAAAGATTCTCTATCTAATTGTGTCTACAAAATAAAATGCAATACACATCGTACATAGGTCGCGGGTAACCAAGCTAAGAAGTAAATATCGTAGAGCATCAGTTCGACCACCGAGAAATTCAGTTGTTAGTGAACTAGAAAAGCTTGAAAAATCATCAGCCATAGCTCGTCTACACACAACGCTTTAGCATATTAGGTCACGAAATTAATTTTGACAATATTGAAATCATCATCCAGAAAAAAAGCATTTCAGACATCACAAACAACATCTGGTATTATCATCAGAAGCACTTCATATCATCAAATGGAATCCAAATTATCAGATGAATAAGAATGATGGACTCAAACATAATTTGACCTGGTTACACACAACACCCCCCCACATCCCTCCCTCAGGAAATAACAAAATCAACACAAATGAGATATAAGCACACTTTCATCACTATGTAAATACAGACTGTTTTTTTTTATAATTTCATACATTTATCAAATCTAACAATCTACACCTGGCTTTTATTATCTTTACCAGCTGTGGTCAGCAGATTGACAAGGAAGAAATTACCCCATAATTGATGAACGATGATGATTAAGTTGTTACATGTAAACAGAAATATCCTAAATTCTGGTTTATTATTACCTACTTTGATAAGGCTAGCTAGCTAGTTATTAGCAGCAGCATTAAATAGCAAAACGTCAGTAAAACAACAACAACAACAACAACAGTATTGTTTTCGTTTTTTCATTCATTCTTTGGGAATAACAAAAACTTTGATCATAATCTTTTTATTTCCTTTTATTTCAAGTGGAACATAGGAGGCTGAAGACTCCTGAAGTTTCGCGTTGTTAGACCCTACACGTTAAACTTTCTTTTATGGGCTCATTCATGGTTAATTATTCAGTTGCTTACTTGGTTGGTTAGTTAGTTATTTTGAACACACACTATGAGACACTCCACACTATTGGATATGAAGTTTGATAAGACTTCCCAATTATCAGGTTGAGATGTCTGTCTGTCTGTCTGTCTTTTTTCGACATAGATGTGCATCAGTTCAAGTCATCACACTCCATGTAGAACACAAAGCAACAGAAGAAAGTAGAAGAAATGCATAATAGAGATAGTGAACAGAGGTGTGAGTCAAAGAAATAGAAGTAACGAAGAACAATATAGTTTCATTGGAAATCATGAGTCACAAGGAGTGGATGCATCTGCATCAGCCATCAATGAGATCGATGAGTTTGAGCCATAACCACCAATTGTTTCTAGCCATTGATTGGTTTTTACCGTCATGAGGACCCCAACCAGTCAGGAAGTCTACACCTTCGTACGTGGCTGACTGGCTTAAACTAACTGTTGTGGATTTCACTGACTGGTGTCATGTTTTGGTTTGACCACTGCTAGCTAGCTCTTTTCCAGTCTGACCCTATGTCAACTAACATTGCCCGTCGGTCTAGGAAGGCGATGACTGGGCTAGGCATACGTAACACATATCCTAACCATCTCAGTCGATGTAATTTCACAGCCTCGTCGACTGATTTTCCCTCCAAATCACCTACCTAGCACTCGACCGAAGCCTAATCTCAATATTGCTCACCTTATTATACCACTTAACACATACGGGAGATAGAACGCAGGCACCTATCATCAAAGGATTCGCCAGTTCATGACTGAAAAACTGAGTAATGCAACACCAATAATGCATATTTTCATAACTAACAATGAAAACAAATAAGGCTATCTATCTGTCAATTGAAACGAATGATTTAATTCGGTTATTCAGTGAGAAAGAATTACTCCACTTTTAACCATCTTAGTAACAGTGTCTACGGGTTAGAAATTTGGTCAGTGTATCTCGAAAAGGGTTTACAACAGACCACAGAAGACTTTTATCAACTGCTGCAACATCCGCTGACTGGCGCTCCATACTGAGCTGCTAGCCAGAAAGTATTAGCGACACAAAACTTTGGCCGATCGTTCAATAAATATATATGTAGGAGAAAGTGGAGATGGATCAGGCAAAAGATGAGGAGGTCGTAGAATAACATCACGTACAATGCAGACCGCATTGCTCGTGTGGAATCTCCCCCAAATAGGAAGCGACGAATGGGTCGTCTGTATGAGGGTGACATGGAGAAGATCGATAGATGAGAAAGAAAAATGAGAGATTATGGGCAATCGTGGAGGTGTAGCCAGCTGAACAGGATGACAGAAAAAACAGAAGAAAGTGGAGATGTGTTGTTGAAGCCAGGCCTATGTTCCACTTGGAACCCAAGGGAATAATTATTAATAAATAAATGCAATATATGAACAACGAAAATTCAAATCGGGTACACAACTGATGAGCTCGACTCTCGAAATGAGCACCAGACAGCCATCCGTTGTCTTCAAAATCAATTCGATCTGTCTGGTTAAACAAGCAATATTGTTTGGCATGATTAGTTTGTAACACTCCACACACTGAAACAAGGTCGTCATTCACATAATTAAAAAAATTCTTAAATGAATAAACAATTAACACTCCACTTTAAACGCTACATAATATCATCATCTCTTAGATAAATAAATATGACGAGCAATTTAACGAAGCTTTTAAAGTAAAGACAAGATTAAGATAAGACTGAGTACTCTTCATTAAGGTGGACTATTATCATGTAACACACTGTACGAGGTAAGAAAACAGACACACTATAGATCGAGAAGAAGAAGACATTCGAACTTCACCGATGATTTATGTCTCATGTGAAAAAAAAGCCAGGCGAAAACCAAGAAACTGGTAGAAGAAGTAGAGAAGACAGAAGACTTCAACCAGGGAAGATAAAGGTGATTAAAAAGGAGGATGCTCAACCGACGACAACAAGACGTACCAATCATCATGTCTTTAACTGATCTCTCAGCAGCAGCATCCTTTCACAATTACAAGCGGTATACATGAGAATGTCGACTTCGCACAGGGTCGGAGAAGCAAGAGACATACATTCTTGTGATAAATTAGTAATGCTTTTATATGGATCAGAGACATGGGGCGTAGGCGTCACTAAAAAGCATTTTCAACAGATTACCGCAAACTTTCATCAACAGTTGCCTTTCCTTCATATTGAAGATGAGATAGCCAGTCAAAAAGAATAAGTGCGCACCAAGGAACTCTAGCAACGCACCAACCAAGAACCTATTATCACCCGACAAATATGTAGAGGGAGACAGAGATGGAATGAACATACTCTGAAGAGACTGTTGAGTGGGAACTTAAATCAAAAGCGAAGAACCGCGTTTGGAATTCAATGCTGACAAGAGGAAGGTAAAAGCCTACGGACAGTCGTGAGGTCTGCAGAGAACAGGGCAAAATGAAGATTTCCTGCTGAAGCCCTATATTTTATTCGGAACATAAGGGAATAATAATATTAGATATGATAAGAGTCGACTGACAACAAGTTCTATTATATGATGTAGAAGATTTGTATCTCATGTGGATGATTTTCATGTAGTTGTGTTCTCTGGGCAGCTCTGAATGGATGGTTTATAGTTGCAAAGTTTTCATAGGCAACATCTTCAGCGCACACATACTTCAATTTGATGAAGTGCGCTTTTAGATTTCTCCACGAGTTCTCACTATTAGTCATCTCTCCTGGTGGGTGACCTTGAATGTGACTCTGGTTGTTTTTGTGTTTTTTCATACCATCTAGACTACTTGGTATTGGTATTGATTATTTCCTTGACTTTAAGTTTGACCCTTGGTGTATAAGATTTTTTTTTGATTACAGCTTGATTCCACACCGTATTTTTGGTACAAGTATGGAATTTTCAGCGTGGATATCGGTAGCCCAAAATTCGCAGGCCGACCATAAATATCAGGTGTGCGTCGGCGAGGGCTCGAACCCGGGACCATGTGCATGGTCGGCGAGAGTCCTAACCACTGTGCCACCGACGCACAGTGGTTTCTCTATGTTGTCCCAGGCGAATTAATGCCCATTGGTTGTCTGTATGTAGCGACATCGCTGCAACAACGTTCAAATATTAGAAAGAGGAAACGCCAAGAATGCTAGAGAAGTTTTAGAAGCCTGGTATTCCAATGAATCATCAATCAATAGACACATTGACATAGACAAAATCTACCAATCGATAACAAGGAAATCTCATACACACATATGGTCACACTTCAGGTCAAGGAAACAATCAATACCAATATACAAGTGTAGCCTAGAAGGTGTGAAAACATACAAAAACAACCAATCACGTTCAAGGCTACTTCACTAGGAGAAATAACTAATAGACTCATAGAGAAATAGAAAGCTCACTTCATCAAAATGAAGTTGGCGCTGAAAATGTTGCCTAGTAAGTAGGGCAATGAAAGCTTCGCGACTATAAACCATCCAGCTGCTCAGAGAACACAACCACATTAAAAACAACTTCTCTATATATCAAATTGTACACAAATTTCATATTGCTGAACTTACTGGTCATATCTACAGTCCTGAATAATCAAATTCAATCGACACAGATGTGAATCACTGGAATTACTTACGATCACAACAGATCCTAAGTTCAAATTTCTCTTTATCTACTCTTTAACCAGAGCAACTAGATAGTATTTCCAGCTGTCGTAGAATAAATGTAGCTGTCTTAGTTAGTAGTCTGAAACCTAAAGGACCCATTCCGGGTAAGAAGGTTTTGATGTGGTTACGTTCTCTGAACAGCTGGATGGTTTATAGTTGCGAAGCTTTCATCACCCCACTAGACGACATCTTCAACGCATACACTTCAGTTTCAATTAAAGTGAGCTTTTAGATATCTCCACGAGTTCACTATTAGTCATCTCTCCTGGTGGGTGACCTTGGGCGTGTGTGTTTCACACCTTCTAGGCTACTTGAACGTTGACTATTTATGTGTGAGATTTTCCTCATACTGAGTGGTAAATTTTATCTATCTCGATGTGTCTATTGATTGGCGATTCACTGGAATACCAGCCAGGCTTTTAAAAATTCTCTAGCATTCTTGTTGTTTCCTCTGTCTAATATTTGAACGTTGGTTGTCCCAGTTGAATTGATATCCATAGTTGTCTGTATGTACTGATATGAGGGAGTGGATACGAAGACGAAGAGGACGTCGTCCACTTTGGCCAATGTACTGTTTTTTCCCAGGTGTTACAATTTATTTTGTAGATGATGTTGGTTTTATCTTCTTTGATTGTTGAGTCATTCGGTTGACACAGAGTTGACTGACTGAGTAAAGTGATGTTTTTGGTTTGTGTACGACATCAATACCTAAAGGTTTGAAGAATTTTGCAGTGATTTCTGAGATGTCCTTTATGTAGGGTAAGGCGATTTTCTTTGTGCTCTCCTTGGAGGCCTATGATTTAGTAGGTTGACCTGGGAGTATATGTCATTTGACGAAATTTCGTGGATATTCATTCTTTTTGGAAGACGTCCATGAGATATCTTTCTTCAATATTCCTTAAGGTGGGAGTGCTGCAATGAGTCCTGGCCTCCTTGAATGATGTTTATACGCAATTCCTTTTGTGTGTTATTGGATTTTTGCCGTTGTAATTGAGTATTTTGGTCTGTGTGAGTTGGTTTTCTATAAACTTGAGTTTCTAATTCCCCCTGTGGTTGCTTGTTTGACTAAGATGTCCAAAAATGGGATTTTGTACTCATATTCCCCTTCTTTTGTGAATTTGATGATGTCATTGATATGTATCCATAATATATATATATATATATATATATATATATATATATATATATATATATATATGGTGATCTCTCTCTCTGTTTGCTCGCTTAGTCTGTGACCATTTCACTTTGATGAACCTGTCTCCTTTAACAATGTATATTCTCCTTATATTATATATAATATGAGTGTTTGTTGACAGTCCGTTGCTTGGTGACATATATCCATATATGGTGGTTGTTGACATGTCTGCTATATTTCGCTATGTATATTTGGATCGACACTCCATTATAATTAGCCATTCATGCTAAGACTGTCTATTGATTTGTTCACACACTTGTCTGGATGGTCATATATATTTCGCTCACACAATCTTGTGTGACACTTTGGTGTGATACCACTTTTGCACTCTCCTTGTGTTTGGAAAATAGAAGTATCATCGCAAACCTAGTGGTCTTCTGATTTCCGCCTTCTTGCGTCAGGACTATTAAATTCTCGACCAGTACATAGCAATAATTTGGCGACGGGGAAAACTACTATTAACCACTCAGCAGCAACAACATAACAGTCATTGAAGACGTTGTTTATTAAAAGCTCATTTCAAATTCCGTGGATATTCATTCTTTTTGAAAGACGTCCATGAGATATCTTTCTTCAATTAACAGAGGGTAGGTAAAAGAGGTTTACATAACAATCAGAAAAAAAAAATAAAAACCAAACAAAAGAAGGGCTTATAATTAACCTACATGATACAGACAATAAAATTGTTGTTCTTCCTCAGGTATCCCAAATTCTTCAATGCATAAACGTGTTGCTTCGTAAGCAGTGGTTTGTCTATGCGGTAGAATAATTAATTTACTCGATTGATCTTTCCCACTGTCATTTGCTCGCCATACACGTATAACAGACAAATGATCACCACCACCACCACCACCACCACCACCGCCAGTGACATTGACTGGAGCAATAGGAGGAATAGTAACAGCTGGATGACTATTATTATTATTATTATTATTCGTTGAAATTATGTTAACATGATCAAAATCATTCGGAAAATGCTGATGATTATGTAGACTAGTTGATTCATTAAATCCTTGATGCTTTGATGAGGATGATGTCACCAATGCATTGATTGCAACTAGATCAGGTTGTGATGAGCATCGTTGTAATGGGCTATTTGTACAATTACCAAGAGGTTTATTATTATTATTATAATTGAATTTATCAGTAGGTGAAGGTTGTTGTTCTATTGATTTATTATTATTATTATTATTACTAATACCTGAAGAATCTTTTCTTGAATGTGACCAACGTGATTGACTACTATTCGATGACTAGAATAAATTAGGAGAAAAAAAACAACAATAAAACAAATTAATGAGGAAGAATATTTTCAGTCTGCATTATGTAATTTACGTATTAATACAAATTTAGGAAGTCAGTATTCTAAGTAATAGTGGTTGTAATAATAATTATACGACTCGGTGGTTCAGACGTAAAATGTACATCGACTACGCCGCCGCATGAAGTTCAGGGTTCGATTTTCAGTCACCAACGCATTAACTTCTATGTCTCGTTTTAGCCAGGTAGTCTGACTGACTGACTGGTTCTTACGAAACCAAGGACCTTAACCAGTGAGGAAGTATACACCTGCCTACGTAGCTGACTAATGTGGATTTCATTGACTAATGAAGCCTTATTTTGGTTTGACCACTACTCGCTAACTCTTTTCCAGCCTGATTCATCCTATGTCCGCTAACATTGCCCGTCGGGGAAAATGATAGCTAGGTTAGACACAAGTAACACATGTCTTAAACATTTTAATCGGTGTACCTTCACAACCTCGTCGATTGATTTCCCCTCCAACTCACCTAACACTCGACAGATGCCTCACCTTAGTATTACTACTCAATTTGTTATGTCGCCTAACACACGAGAGATAGAACTGCAGACACATATGATCAAAGACAACTGGCTAGGCGTTTCATTCCTCTTATCTTAAATGGTCTGTTCTCACTCACACCCTCGAAAGGAGAACAGAGTGGACTGCTGAGCAGTACATACATCGTTTGGTCGACAGCTGGATATCATATCTACGCCAGGGATGGCCTAAGTTTGCGGGCATATACCAAACGAGCTTTCAGTATACGCGCTGAGATTTCGTCGGTAACAAGCAGCATGTTGGGGCTGATACAAACACTTCTCAAATCATTGAAGTGATCAACACTACCAACCAGCCCACCAACCACTTCATTCACTCCCTATCTTCAAGCTACGAGTCAATAATAGTCAAGTCTTAGTCGGTGTCATAAGCATGGTAAAGAGGAAAGGCTGAGCTAGCAGAGAGCTATCAATTCCACTCCTTAAAAAGAAACAACATCACCAGGGGTACTAAAATCGAAAAGCTTAATGTTTGAAGTCGAATGTTCAACTCGGGAATAATAATAATAATAACAATAACACTTTAGCATTACTTAGTGAAGGTCTATCAGGTCTATGAAGTTGTGAGTCCGATTTCATTATAATATGACGGTGTAAAAACGCAGTGAGATTGTAAGGATATAAAGTAGATGAGGCAAAGTGGAACTTTTGTGTGAAAATTTAATGCCATAAATCAAACAAATGTACCACACAGCTAGTGGTCGCGCTATTTAGTGAATTGACAGAAGGTAGAAATCATGGGTTGGCTATTGGATCAAGTCCCGGTGGCTTAATGGTCCACGAGTTCGCTAGCCTTGTAGTAACCAGAAGGTCCTGGACTCGAACTGATGATGAGCCCCAACGTAGGATGAAACAGCTGTTCAGTACTTCCTGAAGGTTTTCCAATGATTCTCTAACCAATGTCCTGCTCATGATGAAATCCTGTAAATTCATTTTATTTGTAAAGCATAATACGAATAGACAATCAAACAAACAAGGTGTACCCAATTGCCAAGGCTATTTAGTACCTGAGACGGTATTCGAATCTGGAACACATTGGCTGAATGTATTCAAGCGTTACTGTTCTAGGGATTCGATTTATTTTAAGCTTGTTCACGAACTGAATTCAGTAAGAGAACCAACAAGAGAAAATCGAGTACTGGACAACCGTTTCGTCCTGTTTGAGGACTCTTTTATCAGTAATGCACATCCGTGAAATGACATACCACCACCAGTGATTGAATTCAAGACCGTCAGCTTACGAGACGACCATTCAGCCAGTTGGATGAAATCCAATGGCTCACAGAAGTCAAATGCCTAGGAATATGACCCCTACATAGGAAATTCTGTTTCCCTATGAAATAAGTTGCACGTGATACACAACAGAAGAGGAAGAAAAAATCAATTTTTTGTTACTTACTGAAATTCTCTAGAGAATAATTAAAAAAACCAGAGTAAAACAAAGAGCTATACTCTTCCTAATTTAAACGTTCTGTGAGATGAGATCACAACTTCTCACACTCCAGCATATTGATGAAGCTTTTTGTAGGTCTACTAGGTGGATGTGTTCTAAAACCTGCAGCTGCAGATCAAATGGGGTTGACCAGGATGAATTAGCTACAAGAAACTCTGTGAACGAACTAACCAAACGAGAACCTATTGCTTAACAAATATGTATAAGAAAATGCAGATAGACTGGGCACACGTCATTGAGGAGACAGTCGAGAGATATCTCGCGCGCCAGGCCATCGCTCAAATGGAACCCGAATAGTAGACAACCAGCTGACCTGGGGTTCTAGAGTCCAGTGGAGGAGACTAGGTGACGAGGAGATGAAAGAGGCCAGTAAAAGGGGACCGCAGAGAGTAGGATAAAGTGTAGATGTACTGTTGGAGCCTTATATGCCACCGGAACCAATGGGAACAATAACAATAATAATAAATCATATATATATATATATATATATATATATGTGAAAAAGTAAATTACATGGAGGACTTCATCATGAGCTGACATCAGTTGAAGAACCACTAGAAAACCTGTGAAAATGGACAGCTGTTTCGTCCTAGTTTGAGACTCTTCAACATTACAAACCCCATCACAGCCAGTTCGAAACCAGGACCTTATGGTTACAAGGTGACCGAGCTTGTAGATCATTGAGCCACTGGGGCCCGATCCAACGTCCAACCAATGAATTCTAACTTCTGCCAATTCACAACATAGCGCTACCATTTCACAATGTCTTCTGCTTCGATGAGTTACTGCCTCATCTTCGACCTGTTGTACCCTAATGGTCACGGGTTCCCACTAAAACCCCAGGTTAACTGCCTGAATGGGGCAAGTTGCTCAAAGGCTCAATGGTCTACGAGCTCGCCTTATAACCGAAAGGTCCTGGGTTCGAATCCCGGTGGGTGCGTACTGCTGAAGAGTCCCAAACTAGGACTAAACAGCTGTCCAGTACTCCCAGGTTTTCCAGTGGTTCTCCAACTGATGTCAGCTCATGATGAAATCCTCCGAGCAATCAAAAAAAAATCCCTACAAAACTAACACTTGAAAAAAAAGTAAATTACCAAGTGAACGTTTAGAATTTTAGAATTAATTTGTAGGCAGAGATAAACAATAGTGAAGCAGAACAAATACTTTTCTATGTACATACACGTTTTTAATTCGTGGGAATGCATTACATGGTTTAAAACTATTTTCAACTACACAATCGTATAATCTATGCATAGTAATCCGTGTATACATTTGTTAATTCTATTATGTGGTTATCTTAACCGCTATTGGAACCAACTGGGCAACAAATATGCTGGAAGAAATGGAGGCGGATTCTCTATACTCTGAGAAAACAAACCATAAAATGAGTGACATCACACGCCAGGCTCTCTGCCTCGAGAGGAACCCAAATGGTAAGCGATAAGTCAGTCATCAGTGCAAGGGTAACATGGAGGACGTCATGCGAAGAGCAGATGAAAGCACGTAGGCAGACGTGGAGTCAGGTGAAAACGTTGACAGAGAGCCGGACGCAATGGAGACGTTTTTCTAGGAACTAAAGGAAACAATAATAAAAACGTGGTTATCTTAGGAGCGTCGGTGGATCAATAGTAGAACGCTCGTCAGCTACACAAGCGGTCTGGGGCTAATTCCAACCGACGTACTTCTAGACACCACCTAGTTTACTATCGAATAGTGAGCCTAGTTGTATAGGGACGTTTGGGCGTGAGGAGCTACTTTACAAATCACAATAATCGGAACGGGTCCCAGTGGCTTAATGGTCTACGAACTCGCTAGCCTTGTAACTAGAAGTTTGTGCGTTCAAACCCGCGGTGCAGATGCGTGCTGATGAAGAGTCCCAAGCTAGGGCGAACGAAACAACTGTCCATTACTTTCAACTGGCTTTCCAATAGTTTTCTAACTGATGTCAGCTCATGATGAAATCCTCCATGCAAAACAAGAAGAAGCAGCACGAAGAAGGAAAACATGAAAAAAAAGTGAATTACCCGTTTATTATCTGTTCCTGTAGTTTTTTGAACATCTTGATTATCTTCCTGATTAGATATCCGTGTCGGTGAAGTATTGGCACTATGCGATGATCGTCCCATGTGTCCCATATGCGGTGTTAACGGATGATAGATTTGTCCACGACGTCCTAATGAATTATTGTTGTTATTATTATTGTTTAATGAAGTAGAATATGGAGAACCTGATGTTGTTGTCAATGGGGCCACCGCTGCTGATATTGGAGATAATACATTTGGAGAGGATTGTAGGCGATCCGTACTACTTGTAACAAGATCACTGGGTATACTAATACTAGTTGGCCTACACACAAAATATAAACAAGATATAGATTAATTTCAGCAACAAAAACAACAGCAACAACAAAACTATTTAGGAGAAAGTTAACTGTATTTGAGACGTGCAAATGCATGCACTATCTACTCACTCATACAAGCAGCAGGTTATGTAGGAGATGCAAAACAATGTCACTAAATTAGAGATGAGATTCAAACCTGAAGATATGATGAATATGCAACATAAAAGTGATAATGGGTAAGATCTACGCTGAGGAGACACCACCCTTGAGTAAAATCACACCACAGGCTCTCGAAAAGAACTCGAATGGGTCTAGCGGTGACATTGAAGACTTCGTTAAAAGGAGGAAATGAAAGCATATTGACAACTGTGAAACCAACATAAAAAGAACTACAGACTCATTGCAGCACTCTCACCTTAAGGAAAATTGTCTTCCAAAAGAATGGATATCTACGGAATTTCATCAAAAGATATATACCCCCAATCCAACCTATCAAACCAAAAGTCCCCAAGGAAAGCACAAAGAAAATCACCCTACCATATTTATATAGGACATCTCAGAAATCACTGGGAGACTCTTCAAACCTTTAGGAATTGACGTCACACAAACACACAAACCAACAAAGTCACTTCAATCAGCCAGCCAGCTCTGTGTCAACCAAAAGACTCAACAACGGAAGAGGATAAAACCAACATCATCTACAAAATAAATTGTAACAACTGCGAAAAACACTACATTGGCCAAAGTGGACGTCCCCTTCGTCTTTGTATCCATGATCATAAGCTAACCGTCAAAAGACATGACATCCACTCCCTCATATCACTACATACAGACAACCACGGACATCAATTCGACTGGGATAACCAACATTCAAATATTAGATAAAGGAAACAACAAGAATGCTAGAGAATTTTTAAAAGTCACCCTGGTATTCCAGTGAATCATCAATCAATAGACACATTGAGATAGACAAAATTTATCAACCGATAAGAAGGGAACCTCACACACACAAAGGGTCAAAGTTCATGTCAAAGAAACAATCAGTTTTAATACAAGTAACCTAGATGGTGTGAAAATACACAAAAACAACCAATCACGTTCAAGGTGGTCACCAGGAGAGATGATTGATAAATTCGTGGAGAAATCTAAAAGTTTACTTCAATTGAAATTGAAGTGTATGCGCTGAAGATGTCACCTAGTAAATAGAGCGATGAAAGCTTCGTAAATTAACTAACTATCCAACTGTTCAGAGAACACAACCACATCAAAATCATCCACCTGAGCTACAAATCTTCTCTATCATATCTAGAACTACAGATAACAGGATCTATCACCAAACAAATATACAGGGAAAAATGAAGATGTATCAGACATAAGCTAAGAAGAAAGTAGTTACCGTCATAGGTGTAAGTCAGTTGGACTAAGAGCGGGAATTATCACGGTAATGAAAGATGATTGTACCTACCATGTTGAAGATATGAAGATGAAGCCATTCTGATAGCGAGTAGGAAGGACTATGACAGCAGTAAGGTGTCCACCTGATACGACCAGTGAGCAAGTTGCGCCACTTCTATGCTCTAGGGAAGGAACAGTTAGGAAAACATCTTCATAACTGGACACAATTCTAAAAACCACTTTTAGATAGGCGGTTATGTGACCTACCGCCTTAAGCAATTATCCCCTGGGAGCTCTGAAGTCATGCAATATTTATGCTTAATTTCCATGATGTGGTTAGCCGAGAAGTAATTATACTCAACACACTTATATGAAGACACCGCTAACTCGAACGAGTAAAAGCCAGTAATGTTTGGTTAAGTATCTTCATCAAATCTAGTCTTCTATGTGTCTACTTGAAATTACATTACATTTCCAAAGGTCTTACTCTATATACTACTTACATCTATTTAAAAGTAGTTAGATGAACCTACATTTGTGAAGTCTCTAACAACACGATTAAGCACATTGTACATGAATTTTGTTTAAAATAATTCATGTTGCAATATGCATAACTTCCGAGTACAATCTGATATACAGTGTAATAATGTTGGCCGTTTTGTCATCTCACTAGTCTATGCTGTCTGCTTGTTTCACTACTATTAATATTATTTCCTTTAATTCCTGGAGGAACATAGGGCTTCAGCTGCATGTCTCCGTTGCGTTCGGTTCTCTGCGAAAGTTTTCACCCGGCTGCAGGTCTGCCTACATTCTTTCATCTCCTCTTCATATGACCTCCTCCAAGTCACCCTTGCACTGAAGACCAACTTGCTGCTTCCCTTTCGGGTTCCACTCGAGGGCTTATGTAGTGATGTCACTTTATAGTTTCCTCAGAGTATGACCAGTCCACCTCTATTTCTTCCTGCTTATTTGTTGTACAATCGGTTCCTGCTGGGTTGGTTCGCTCATTGCCAGAGAACCCTGTTGCTGATCTTTCCTGGCCAGTCATCCGATCTTGAGTGGTATTGGGCGAAGACAGCTGTTAATGAAGGTCTGTAGTTTGTTTGGAGTGCTCTTATGACCCGCCAAGTCTCTGATTCGTATAGTAGCACTGACTGACTTCACATTGGAGTTGAAAATTCGGATCTTATCTTTCAAGCTGAGTTCTGTTGACCTCCACACAGACTTGAGAGTAATGAAAACTTGTCTTGCTTTCCCGATCCTCGCTGCTTTGATATCCTCGTCAGTTCCTTTGGCCTGTAGTTGAAACGATGCTTCCCGGTAGGATAGGTAAGGGAGGTTATTTCTTTCAGGTTCCTCCCATTTATACTGGTTTATATCTGTTGTTGCTGTTGCTGCTATTTCACTACTAACCATGCTATATGCTTTGGATTTTGCAAGAACCTCTTATCCTCGTCATCCGAACACTGTTCTACAACTGGTAGTGCACAGCTTCCACCAGTAGACACGACTTCAACAGTGAACACTATTGTGGATTATATTAATAACTTATCCTGACAAGACTTTAATTGTATGACCAGGTAACTAATTATTTTTTAAACCTCATTAACTGTATTTTTTTTATAATATATCGGTTCATTAAACTTTGATTTTTATTTATTTATTTTATTTATCGAGCTTGCTATAAAGTCCCCCAACACATTCTCCCATTGGGACTCTCTTCGAACAGAGCACCCCCACATAGGGAATGAGCATCTTGGTAGAATATAGTCAATCAAAGGGGAGAATACAAATAAACTCATGATCTAGTGGGGGATAACACGTATTGAAGATTTAAAATAACAATGGTTGCTGCTGAGGTGTCAGTCCATGAGAAATCCACCAGTCATTAGCGGGTGAGAGAGGTGTAGAGACGTAAATACTTGAAGAAGTCCGTCTCAAGTAGACTTTACTTCTAGAGCCAACATTAGTATCAACAAAAATAACATAACAGATAAACTTTTAGACTTTGTCGAAGCAACCAAATCATAGGGGACACAGACCGGGTAATTCAGTACAGCATAAAAAAATCAATCAACGAGATGGATAAAATTAGCCTAAAACACAAATATATATAATATATATATATATATATATATATATATATAACTGCTATTAGTTACCGGTAGTTATATAGTCTAACCTAGAGGTCTAGTCTAGTCTAGACTAATTAGTAGACCTAATAATTTTGAAAACAAAGGAGAAGGAGAGAAGTGAAAGGTAGTCAGTCAGCCAGTCAGTCAGACTATCACAAGAAAAACAAGGTGAAGTGGAGAGACAAACAAAAATATTTAAAAAAACGGGACATTGATGATTCATTCATCTATATTCAACATTTCCCATTCACTATTGTCGTTGTAGTAGTAGTAATAATAAAAATACATTAGAATAAATCGATACACGGTAGTGTGTTATTTATAATTTTTGCATACGATAACAAAAGTAGGCATTGAAGACATCTCATAGCTAGATAAACATCATAATGATAATAATGAAGATAATAATAATAATATGATTGTACTGATATTTTGGGGAGGGGGTGGTGGAGGGGGACTAATGAATGCGCATTCAGTGTTGACTGTACACACCCTCATCCATCCATCACCACCCCCCCCGGTCAAACACACACACACACACGTTATTCTTCGGCTTTAACATATTTCTACTTCTAGATTCCTTTTGGATTTCTTACTTCTACACCTAAGACGTCTGTGGTATATACACAGACAGTAGACAGAAAATCATTTAGATCGTTTATGGTAGACGTGGAGTGAGTGCACGTCATTATTTCACCTCTGTAGCTCGCCCTCTCTCTCTCTCTCACACACACACATACACGCACACACAGACACACTTTCTCAATCTCTATAATCTAGTAGGAAATCTGGACGAAGCAGTTAAAGTGACGAAGAGACGTAAAAAAGAGGTATAAAGACATACACATACACACACACCACAAAATAAACACACAAAAGAACGGACAGAACAGAAGTAATAGAGGCATATATACATATATAATGTATTTACATGTAAAACGGGTCTCTTGTAAGACTTATTGATACCAAGTAGAGAGGGAAAGGAAAGGACACGACAACACATTTGCTTTATTATTAATAATATTTTGAAAATGAACAACTGACTGACTTCACAGGTTAGAGAATCAGTGCGAAAAACCAGCAGGGTGTGCCACAGGAGAGCTATTTCGCCCTTTTTAGGGACTCTTTACACGGCGAACCCCCTATCACCCTATCAGCGATCGAACCTAGAACCTTCAGGTAACAAGGTGAGCTCAGGAAATAATTAAGGCGTGGTATGTGCTACTGATAAGATTTATCAGTAGTATACATACAAAGATATGTTGTTCAACACAAGTGATACAGCGTTGCGGAGATACATGACGGAGACGTGAAAGAATCACAATACAAAGAAAGGCGGGGCGGGGGGGGTGGGGAGAAGTAGCAAGCAGAACACGAAAGATCTGTGCAAATGTGTTGGTGCGTTGAAGATAAGCTGTCCTCAATTTGGTTATATGTAAAGATATCAAATTGCAAATAAACATTCCTTTACCAAG